ATCCACTCTTCCATCATTTGCATATATATTGCCATTTTTCGTACATATTGACTGGACTAGTATAAAATTATTAAATATAAGGAGCATTTATTTTCTAAAGATATTTTGCTTAGTTTTCTAACAATAAGTGTTTTTATAAAATTGCACAATAAAGGAAATCACAAACGGCAATAAATAATGCATAAAAATTAAATTTGAATAAAGACGATTTATGTGGGAAGGAACATGACAATTTTGTATTGTAGTAATATATAAAACTAAGAAAATTAAAAGGTGAAGCAGTTTAATAGTGACAATTGTATAAAAAAGTGCTCGTTGATACATTACTGAAATAAAACATATATAAGTACACATATATGTACATACAGTATATATAGGTATATATTTATACATATATTTTATATTCTTACATAAATTATAGTGGTTGAATATATTTGTATAGAACATGAATTTTTAATACATCGTTCTTCCTTCTTCCAATTAGAATAAATTTAGAATTATATAATTGACAATAAGATATCAAAAATGATGAATTGTTAAATTTTAATTTGTTTATAACTTCTTTCTGAAAGGTGCACAAAAGAAAATTATGAGTAAACAAACGTGTATACATGGTGGACAATCGAATCCCGTATGTTTATAATTCGGAAGAATAATTTACATGAGGGTGCTACAATTTTTCATTTATTCATTCTTTTTTCAAGGATGGACAACAATTTTTTGTTTGATGGATAATGGTGAACATTTGAACAATCGAATGCGATATTAATTTTATTAAAATTCGCATTTGGGGTTGCCAGCTTCACAGACCTGCGCATGCGTGCGTGCGTGTGTGCGTGTGTGTGTGTGTGTGTGAGTGTGTGAGAGAGACCACAAAGTACTGCATCTGAAAATTTTGAGTCGTTTTTAATTTCTGTACAAAATAAATCAAGAACTCTTTAGCATTGTTTTTACAGCAATTTCGTGGGCCGCATAATACATAACACAATTTAGACTGTTGAAATAAATTAAATAATCTCGAGGTAGAAAATTTTGCAAAAGAATCGATCCGAGATTTTTTTGCTCAACTAAGATAAACGAAATTCAGTGCCTTTTCAACAACATAATTCTTGCGAGCGTCGAGATTTTTTGTTAAAATTTTTAGACGCTTATTATGACGCGATAATTCTATTTTATACAGCTTCAGAACTAAATCTCGGACGTCAATGATTATCTAATTAAAAGGGATTTCATGACATCTAAAAGTGTATAGGGAAGCAATTAGGGAGGAAATTATGTAATATTATCCATAGTTAAATATTCAAACCGTGAAATTCCAATATGAAATTCTTCGTTTGTTGTACTTCTAAAAATACCATCAGCTTGTAATCATGCTGATTCAGAAAAAAAAACCATTTAATTTCAAAATTCACCTTCTGTAATTTGTCGTAGCTGAAGTATCCATTAAACTGCTTAAAGGGAACACAACCAAGTGTATATCTCCGATTTAAATGAGCTTTTAGTATGTTGTTCTATGGACAAAAATAAGAGACACGTATTTTTTTATACGTCCTGAGTCGCATGTTAAGGGGATGAAATCCTCCCTTGAAAAAATCGGTTTTTTTCTTTCGAAGTGAATATCTTCGAAACTATAAGAGATAGAAAAAAATTTTTAGAATAAAAATTGAATGATTGCAAGAGTACTTTATAAGTATAATGGAACAAATTTTTTTTAAGTATTTATTTATTGTATACCCCCTCCTCCACTCTTATTTTCAAAAATTTTTTAATTTTTTATATGATGAACGAAAATGTCTCTTTATACGCGCTCCATACGTATAATTTACTGCATTACTACTATTAATTTTTCGATGACCAATCTTACTATTTTAATTTGTTGACTTGCAACATTTTGATAATGGGAAGAAAACGATAATACCACTATGAAGCAATATATAGTAGATTTCTCATTATTTTATAATGTATTTACTATAAAATTAAGACTCGATCGGTGTCGAAACGTTCGTAATTATTTTTATCTTCATGTTTTAAATTAAACGTTCTTTATTACATAACTAGCCCTTCAACGATAGATATCCTGTGCTCTCAACGCGGTACGAATACGTATGGAGCGCGTATAAAGAGACATTTTCGTTCATATCTGAAAAATTATTTTTCGGAACGTGATTTAAATACACACCGTTGTTTTCAGCGTAAAATTCTCTTTAATTTTCATCATATAAAAAATTAAAAAATTTTTGAAAATAAGAGTGAAGGAGGGGGTATACAATAAATAAATACTTAAAAACAATTTGTACCATTATACTTATAAAGTACTCTTACAATCATTCAATTTTCATTAAAAAAATTTATTTCTATCTCTTATAGTTTCGAAGATATTCGCTTCGAAAGAAAAAAACCGATTTTCTTCAAGGCAGGATTTCACCCCCTTAACATGCGACTCAGCACGTATAAAAAAATACGTGTCTCTTATTTTTGTCCATAGAACAACATACTAAAAGCTCATTTAAATCGGAGAGATACACTTGGTTGTGTTCCCTTGTTAGTATACAGGGCCGGCGCGAGAAATTATGGCGCCCTGGACAAGAGCTCCAAAGTCGCCCCCCTCCCCTCCACCCTCTTGTGGCTTTCTCGATTGCGTTTGCTCTCTGCACTTCCCGGGATCACGACGAGGACGTGGCAAACAAGATCCCATTTAACATTTTTTTTGTTTTCATGTTTCAAAATTTTTTTTGTTTTTATGTTTTTAATTTTTTTGGTTTTTATATGTTTTCAATTTTTTTTGTTTTTTTAACAATCATATGTTTTTTTTGTTTTTTTATTTTTTGTGAACTACTTTTTTTCTAAAAGTTTTATGCATAATTAAAAAAAACTGCTTTTTTAAATAAGATAGTGATAGGTTTATATAAACTTTTTCCTTGCCTTCGTGTCAGCGAATTCCTTCACTTTATTACTAATATCTACTTCGCTTATCAATTCATTTTCGATTGATAATAATGCCAACGAATTCAATCGTTGCTGAGTCAACTAGCAACTGTAATAGGAATTGTCAATAAAATCCTCAATGCTATCCATACATTCGGTAGAGTATTTTCCAGATTATTTTTACGAATGAAATTTAATGGGTGCATTCAGTACAATCGCTCACTGAGCGCTCAGTGAGCACCCTAGAATCGTGTATTAAATGCGACCGCTCACTAGCTGCTCACAGTAAGCGATCGCCATTTTTGTGAGTGTAAAATTTTATCATATCCCTAGAGGAAAGTATTGACAAATGTGTAAGTAAGAAATATAATATTAAAGTATATGCGTGTAAATAAATAATATTCTACAATATGTGAATATTATAATAAATAAATATATAAATTTCTTTATTAATGATTTTTCTCTTTTAGGATTGCAAATTCCTTCAAAAAATAAAGGAAGGCGTGTAAAGGTTAACTATAATAATATAAAAGGTTATTTTATTAATAGGAAATGGATTTACATCGCATTTTTATGTATATAATTGAGACTGAAAATGATGACAATATCATGCAAATAATCGCATATTATGATTTATTTGAAAACTGTATGTTGCATAATCGTAGACAAGTACATATTCGTAACAGAAATTATTTTGAAGTAACAATTCCACAATACAGTTTAAGCGATTTCCACGCACATTTTCGGATGAAACCTGCATCAATGGAGGTCTGTATAACGTACGAAAATAATAAATAATTTCCGAATTTTATTTTTTAAGGTGCGTC